CTAAGCCTGCATTAAAATTTGTAGAACATTCTTTCTTTTGGACCATTAAGAAGTTCTTTAGGAAAACATAACTTGCATCCTATTTTTTTCCAATTAGATTTTGTATAACTGTGGAGTACTTTATATGGAAAGTGTGTTTGGGAAAGGTTTAGACAGTCTGTCTTCATCTCCAGTGAGGGCAAAATAATAGGTGCACCTTTCTGTCAACAGCACTACTTAGCAGTTATGGTTAACCTGCAAATTGTTGCTGAGAGAAATGCAAAATGACTCTTGCTGCTCTGTGTGAGAGACTTTTTAAATGTTTGCTTTTCCATGTGTGCGTCGACATGTTCAGTGCTGCAACTAACTAATGATGCCCCCATCCATAGGATACAAGGCGTAGCTGAATGGTTTGATGAAAACTATGTGAATCACATGCTACAACCTAAACAGCAACAGATCTCAATCCAGTTGAACACTTCTGAGAGATTTTGGACTGACATGTTAGCACCAATCATCGCCACCATCATCAGAATATCTAATGAGAGAATATGTTTTGGATGAATCATGATAATTCCTCCAGTACAATTCCAAAGACTTGGAGAAACAATGTCAAGGACAACTGAAGCTGTTCTGGTGGAAGCAATTTTCTTAAATTTGTCACCTGTCTGTATGTTGCCCAATAGGTTTTAACCTTGTAATTGAGATTTTAGATGGTAAATGATAGTCGTAGTCAATCAATCAATCAGACTTTATTTACATTTAATCTAAATATGATTATATTTATATATTTAGCAATTTTCATACAAATAAAATGTAACACAAAGTGCTTTACAAATGAAAAACAAATAAGAATCAGGTGCAATGAGCATGGGCGAGCACCAAGTTGTGCTGACCCCCACCACCATAGACTGGTGGTTTGGACGTAGAACATCACCTCATGGGCAAAGAAAGAGCCAGAGCTGGTGCCGGAAGTGGACCACTACCAGCTAGGTATAGTTGGGGTCACTTCCATGCACAGCAAAAGCTCTGGAACCAAACTCCTGGAGAAGGGCTGGGTTCTCTCCCTTTCTGGAGCTGCCCAGGGTTAGTGGCACCAGGCAGGTGTGGAGACACTCACAAGCCCCTGGCTGAGTGCCGGGGTGTTGGAATTTTCCTTGGTGAACAAGATGGTCACCTCTTTGCAATTACATGTCGCGGAGGGGAAAACTCTTTCTGTTGACTGTGTTTATGCACCAAACGATGCGTAAGCCGTCCGGCTAAGGAAGGAGGCCTTCCGGGCTAGATTGGCCCAGGGTTCTCTGGAAGCGGCAGACATGCTGTAGCTTGCTGCAGCAGTTGCTGAAGCAAAAACTCAGGAGTGGGAGGAATTCAGGCTGACTATATAGAAGGACTTTTGGTCAGTCTCAGGGAAATTCTGGAAAACCGTTCATTGCCTAGAAAGCGCATGCCATCTGCTAAGGAGGCAGAGTCTGAAGACTAGGGAGAGCCTCACCCATATCCATGGCAGAGGTTGCTAAGGTAGCCAAAAAGCTTCTCAGTAACAAGGCGCCATGTATGGACGAGACTCACTCTAAGATGCTGATGGCTCTGGACACTGTTGGGCTGTCTTGGCTGATGTGCCCCTTCATTGTTGAGTGGAGGTCTAAGACAGCGCCTGTGGAGTGGCAGACCAGGGTGGTGGTCCCCATATTCAAAAAGGGGGACTGGAAAGTATGCTCGACTTACCATGGTGTCACGCTTCTCAGATTCCCCAGGAAAGTTTACTTCAGGGAGCTGGAAAGGAGGCTCTGATGAATGTAAAGCCTTGGATCAAGGAGGAGCAATGAGGATCCTGAACTGTCCATGGAACACTGGAGCAGCTCTCCATTGTTGCAGAGTTGCTGAGAGGGTCATAGGGGTTCGACCAGATAGTCCACATATGTATGTTGCAATTGGAGAAGGCCATTGATCATGTCCCTTGAGGGGCTCTGTGGGGGTTACTGAAGGAGTATAGGATACTGAGACCGCCGCTGTGAGCCGTCTGGTACAGTGGGTTCTGGACTGGGTTGCCTCTTGTCTTTAGTCCTGTTTGTGGTAGTCATGGACAGGATCTCAAGGCACAGCTCAGGTGAGTAGGAAGTCCGTTTTAGGAACCTCAGAGTGGCATCTTTGCTGTTTGCAGATGATGTGATTCTGTTGGTTTCATCCGAGGCCATGGTTATCTGCTGGAAACTGGTGATTGTTCCCTCTGGGTTGGGGGTGAGCTGCTCCCTTAACCAAGGAGTTAAAGCATTTCAGGATCTTGTTCACAAATGACAGGAAAGTGGAGTGTGAGATAGACAGATGGATTGGTGCTGTACTGGCAGTTTACTGAACTGTCATAGTGAAGAGGGAGCTTAGCCACAAGATAAAGCCTTTGATTTACCAATCCATCTACATTCAAACCTTCACCTATGTGAGTAGAGTTGGGTTGCTGCTACTTAGTGTCGAAAGTAGCCAATCGAGGTGGTTCGGGCATCTGATTATTATTCCTTCTTTGGGACTTCCTCTGCAGGTTTTCCTGGCATATCTTACTGGAAAGAGACCCTGGGGATCTCATCTGGCCTGCAAATGCCTTGGGGTCCCCCAGGAGGATCTGGAAAATGTTGCTAGGGAGAGTGATGTCTGGAATAACCTGCTAAGTATGCTACCCAACTCCAGATAGGCGGAAGAAAATGGATGGATGAATAGATTTTTACAACTGTGTCACATACAGGAGTCCTCCACAGGAACTAGAAACTCATGTTGATAAGTGAATTAGTAGTGGTCCCTTGAAACTGAAATAAATGCCTGAGCAGCCACTGGTGGCTACTTCACCAATATACTATCCAAATTACTTTTTTTTTTTTTTTTTTTTAAATGATCTGAGCAGGCGGCAGTGAAATTATGCAGCAGGGAGTTGGTTACGAAACTGAAATGGGATCAGCAGCATTTCTAAAATGCTATATATTACGCATCCTAGAGTAGTGTGGACACAAGGAATAAATGTAGCTGAAGATATGCTTTTAAAACCAAAACTTATCAATGTGGATGTAGTCTCAGACTGCAGTATAAAGTCAACCCTGGTATATACTGTGACACACTAGTCCAAAGAAATAAGACTGGAGATCTGCAGAAAAGACCAGATGTGAAACCTCAGTTTGTCCTTTAGGGAGTGATGGAAAACATCTATGTCATCCATCATCATGTAAATAGTGAGCATGAAAGATTCAGTGTTGCATTTTCAGTGTTTCCAGCCATAAAAGTCTGTACTTTGTGTACAGTGTGTATGTTTGCACTGTTTTGTCCCATTGTTTTCTTCTTAATCTGGTATTTTTTCAGTAACAGGAGTCAGACTTGCAGTGCTCCCTGGGTAGTAAAACCTTAAGTGACCCTATGGAAGAGACTAAATTCATGATTACGATGTGATTGTGTAAACAGCTCTGTCTCTGAAACCTGGTTTATGTGCCTTTTTGTTTTGTTTTTTTTGAGCAACGTACTTAGCCTGACTCTTTTGTTAACAGAACAAAAGACTTTATAGGAGCCTCTCCTCTTGAAAGGATTTGTATAAGCTGGCTTTATCATAATGTGCTGGTTACTTACCTGTTAAGAGTCAGAAAAGCTGGCTCTACCACAAAACTGGTTAAAGCAACATCGTATTTTCTGTTAAATAATGCTCTTTGTTGCAAATACCGAGCAGTACCGTTTCCTGTTCCTCTGAAGTTGAATGTTAGTTTGATGAGCGTATTTCTTTCTAAAATTTCCACTCCTCAAAGTAACATAAAACCTTTCTGTATAGCGATTCAAATGTGTCCATATAATCTGCTGTCCACTGTGCATCCTGTCAGCTCTCTTTCTAGTTTGTGGCTGCACCATGTTGGTATTTTACCTGCTGAATGTGAAATTTGAGCATGTGAGCTGTAGCTACGTTTCGAACATGCTTAATCATTGTGAACGTGTGGAAATAATGTTTGGATCTCTGTTTGAAAGCGTCCCAGCAGACTGCATGCAAATCCACGCAGGTTTAAATTGTGCCACTTTAATGTTTAGCTAGTTTATCTCTCTGGCGTCGCTGTCGTTAATCATGTGGGTCAAAATGTAACCAGGTTCCATCTTTGTCCCGTCAGCATCACGCATTGGAAAAGCAGGCACATTTTCGATGACTCTCTTCACAGTTTTAGTGAAGTGCAGACGGCACAGCAGTAAGGCTCAGCCAGCAAACAATAAAAGAGTCGGATGGATGGGAGCTTCGTTACAGTGCCAGACACAAACTGTTTAGCGAAGCATGCCTCCAGCTATTCTGCTCTCTTTCAAACAGAAGGCTGAGATGACTCATTTGTTTTTAGTTTGCTCAAAGTGTTTTATACAAATTCCAGCACATCCACTGAGGTAGAAAATTACACATTAATGTTCTTTTATGCAAAAAGGTCTCATGTTTTTTAAAAGACATTATTATTATTTTGTCAGGGGGCATCAAAGTCTTTTATCAGCTGCCTGACCTGAGGTGCAAACACTCAACCTGCACAGCACAAGAAGATGCTTTGGTTCGCTCTGACTCGTTATTTGGTGCAGTTTTTATTTATTCCAGAGACGCCAGAGCTCAAACTTTGAGAAAACAGACTCCATCCCACAAACACAGCAGTGCAAGCAAACTACTGCAGCTATAAATCAAAAAAAAAAAGTGGAAACAATATATCCTTTTGAATTTGGATGATGAGTAGAGGCTTGGGAGGAGTGACAAGCTGCTTCCCAGTCTCTCTTCCATGCTCCTGATGTTTCCAACCCCTAATCTTGACTGCAGATGCAAATAGTCTAAAAAACGTCCCCACCAAACATTTGCATTTTAAACAAATAGATAAAGGTCATTTTGAAAAGCTGCCTCCTCATGACTGCAGTGTGAGGTGGCATGTTCCATGTGTCCCTGCCCTCCTGACGGCGTGGTTAAAGCTCCCATCGTGGCACGCCAGTCAGTATGGTGCTGCACACTGGGATTTAGCTACAGTAGGCAAATACAGCAGAGGGAGAACAGAGAGGCCTGTGTGTGTGTGTGTGTAAGTGTGTGTGTGTGTGTGTCGCATTGCTCAGCAGCATCATGGACACAGGTAAGAGCCACTCATTCATTTACAGGCTGCTCCTGTTACTCTATTATAAATGCATGTTATAGCAAATATATATTGCAAAAATGTGTGTTTTAATAATTTATTTTTAAACTTTTTTATTTCATGATGGCATATTTTTATTTTGGAGACTGCATGGAAAGAAATTTAGTGGTATTCTCTTTATTTATATGACAATTCAGTTTGTATTTTGGCAGTTATTTGATGTGCCAATTAAAAATGGTTCTTTTGCTCATAGAAATTTCTTTTAAGAAATCAGTCAGTTTAGTGTTAATGTTGCAGGAACTTTACCAGCAAAGGCAAACATGTCCAAACATGTTTACTGTATACTCTAATATACATCTGTGTTTGGTATGCATGTAAATTCATGTAATTGAAAGCATATGTTTGGATATGGAATAACGCCTTCCACAGTCATATTTTCTTGTGTGGCAAAGGAGCAAAAGGTGCAAAAGCTAATTTAAAAAAATCGAATCCTGAGAAGATTTAATGTTTTCAAGAATCTGACTGCTGTGCAAAGTTGGGGCTTATCTTAAAGATCCATTCAAAAAGCTGGGGTCTTTTACATACGGTTTTTTGCATGCAATTCCCGTTTGCATAATAAAGTTTGCATTTTCATTGAGTTTATATTTCTGCTTCCCAGGAATGTCCCCAAATCACACCAGCACACATTTTTAAAGAGCAGTGTAATGTTAAATAAGCTTGCTGCTCTAATGCATGTGTTTCTGTTTATTTGCAGAAATCTTTTGTAATATTGTATTTCTGACATCATCCGACCTCCTCCAGTGTTTTCTTACTGTGAGGTTTCAGCAAGTGTTTGTAGTTAATTGCCTCTTTTTAGTCCATTTGCATTGACCAAACCAAAGGCAATTTCCATGACATTTACACACCAATCCCAAAGAGTCATTCACCTATATGCATAAAACTGTGAAATATTCAAATGAACACACATTTGTGGGGATGGATGAAAATTTGTATGAAGTTGTGTTACAAGTCAAACTGTTTCTGGATTTCTTTCAAATGTGTTCAACGCTGTTTCTTTCTCCTGATCTGTCCAGAATATTCCAAGAGAGTGTACCAGGGCGTCCGAGTCAAGCACACAGTCAAAGACCTGCTGGCGGAGAAACGATCCCGACAGACAAATGGGCCGAGATACAGCGTAAGCACAACCTCCTCTAAACCGTCCGGCTTTTGTCCCGTCCTGTCTCTCCCCACTTCATTTTTCTCCCAAACCAAACAGCGCAGCCACAGTTGACATTCTGTTGGTGGCACAATTAAGAGGTCGTCTTTTAAAAATCTCCTCCCCTTGTTTACATTTTGGCTTGTTTTGTGCACTAACGATCCATGGTTGATCCATTGACCACCTGTACCTCACCCCTCCCCTCCGTCTCTGCTCCCCTCGAGCACTCGCAAAGCCAATCTGTAAATAGCTGAGCACAGTGTGTAGAGAGAGACACACAAAGCAAAGAGTCCCATCCTGACCTCACAAAAGAACGCTGACACAATGCTCGCAATGGCAATGGTCATGATCTCCCAAAAACTCCCCCCGAGGTGGAGGTGGAGACGGGGGTGGGGTGGGAGGATTGAGGTGGACAGGTAGCATAGAGAGACAGAAAAAAGGCCGTGCAGGAGGCTGCCTATGCAAAGTTTAAACCATGCACACCTGCCAGCTGACATTGTCCTCTGCTGTGAACAGGCCACAGACAAACCTCCTATTGTTGTCTCAGATAGACACACTGTCTCACACACACACAGTCAGAGAAATCAAGCTTTAGACGTCTGCATGCACAAGCAAGACTGGCTTTTCATTTTTCACAAACCGCCTGTCAAAAGGCTTTCACGGGACAGTATTCACTGTTTGTTTTGTTGTTTAGTGTCGGCATGTCCACTCTATAGATATGCAGACTGCTGACGACTCAGGTAATCAGGGGATTATGTTAGAGACAACAAGGGGAGATACCATCAGATGCAACAAAGAGACAAGTCCAAGAATATGTCTGCTCCAGTGCAATGCTTCACATGAAATTCCATGTTCAGGATTTATGTACAGTTCTAACCGGGATGCAGAGGGAGTTCTCATCGGGAGGGCAGTAAAATGACCATAATTCTTGGCTGTGCTGGTGCTGATTGAGGCTTTTTTTAAAGACATGTGTTTAAGGAGGCCCTGAAAGATGAAACATACAGATGGGTGATAAATTAAAGGAAAAACCAACATACGGTGTCTTAGTAAGGTGTTGGACCACCATGTGCCTACAGAACACCTTCAGTGCTCCTTTGCATTGGTTATCCAAGTGTCTAGAACTGTGCTGGAGGGAGGACCACCATTCTTCCAAAAGATGTTCCCTCATTTTGTGTTTTGATAACGGTGGTGAAGAGCTCTGTCTAACAAATGGGTTCCACATCTCTCAGAAGTGTTCAGTTGGGTTGCGATCTGGTGACCAAAGGCCGTAGAATATCTTCACATTGTCTTCATCAACCATTCAGTCACCTCTTGCGCCCGATGGATGGAGGTGTGATCATCCTGGAAGAGACCACTCCCATCAGAATAGAAATGTTTTATCACAACTTTGTTCTGATTTGCAGTAGCTCTTGTCTCTAATGGACAAGTGGATCCAAACCATGCCATCAAAATGTCCCCCATAGCATAATACAACCACCAGAATCAATATTGTGCATTTAAAACTGGTTAAGTTTGGTTTTTGGGACTACAGGCTACACGATTACTCTAAAAGCATCTACAAACAAACACAGCGTAACAGAGCGAGGGGATCCCCACGCTGTAGAGGCCGATGGTTCAGTGTTTTCCTTTAATTTGTCACCTGTCTGTACATGCGGTGGAGTTCAGCTTCAGTTGGTAAAGCCAAACAAACGCTGATTCAGAGTGCAGGTGGTAAACTGACAACTTCACACTGGAAGGTCAGGTAGCCTGATAACCTCAGATATTTAAGTCTAAAATGATCAGATCAGGTCAGACCATTTATCAACTCAGAGTTCAGGACAGATTTGTCTTTTAGCTTTTGTTCCAGATATTCTGTGACTCTGAACAAGCAGATACACTAAAGGGTATAGCTGGCCTTGCAGCTCAGCTTCTGCAAATTTTCTGTGAGAAGAACTGCAGCCGACGTCATCTCAAAATCAAAACACTGTAACTGCTTTATTCTGAACCTGTTGAGCTCCGTGTTTAAACTACGACACCCACATGCAGAGGCAGCAAGAGGTTGTAGAGGACACGAGATGCTTCTGTCAGGGGTCAGCGAGTCCACAGATGAGACAACAATCACCTGTTTAACAGTGATAACAGCAGCTCAGGAGGCCAGTGTCTGCTCCAGTTGCTCCTTAAATGGGAATAAAAAGCTCAAAAGGCTCCAATTTTAGACCGATTTTCCACTGCATTTAACTACTATTCTACATTGAAAGTTGAATTAATAAGCTAAACGTGTCTTCTGTCAGTTTAGTACAATTAGAGCAGTGTTGTTTTTTGCCGATAAACTGAACTAGTCTTTATGGACAGCAGCAGTCACAGTGTTTTGAATTTTAAACATTGTTAATTATTTACAAGTTGATATTGTTGCATTAACCTGAATATATGAACAGGTGTTGTTTACATTGGTTTGGTCAGGTTTGAATTCTCACTGCTAGTGGTAGACGCTAGACATTAAAAACTGGTCCAATATATTCAGCTGACAATGGCCAATAGTCTCATCTGCTGAAAATTAAAAGAAAAAGAAATAAAACCGTATAGATTTGGCCTATTTCTTGGTGTGTTCCAGGCTCTTGTGGACAAAGCCGGTTTTTGTGTTTTAAGAACAGGAATGAATACGCTCAGGATGTCATCAATGGTCATGCAGTGTGACCCAGAACACATTTGTGTACACACTCATAAAACAACGTGGCTCGAGTGATTGGACAGTGTTTCTGCTGCTTTTAGTTAATTATTCTCTTGGATAACTCTGTTGTGTGTGTTGTTTTGAGCAAACTACTGAACTTCAATTGATCCATCACTTCAAATTATTTGTTTTAATTGTTTTTCAGTTGCTTTTACCAACTATATGAACAATTAAGTTTTCAGTCGTAGCTAAATATTTTGTCCATTTATGTTTTTTTTAGTGCTACTAAAAATAGAGCAGCTCTTTAAACTTTTCATGTTTTTTTGTTTTTTGTTTGTAATTCAACTGTTTATCACCTCAATGACCTATTTTAGTTGTTTTTCTAGTACTTTTGGCTGTTTTACCCATTAATTTGTTAACCCTTTCATGTTTTTTAAAAAAATATTTATCCATTGTTTAAGGATCAGGGTTGAATCCTCAGACTTCTCTGCTTGCTGACTCACTCGCTGTCTCTCAATCATTAACATTTAGGCGTTGACTAAGTGTGTGATTATTCAGTATGTTCTTAAATCAAATCCCACTTTAATATTTTTTTTTTTTTTTTTAATTAGTTGTTGCACTTCACAGTATTTCCATGTACCCTTTGGCAAAGGTAGTAGCAATGGTTGGAAAGCACTGAGGTTTTACTGCTACAGTAGTTTTCCTCTGTAGAATCTACGCCGGTGGCCGACACCACGGTGACCATTTATACTTGTGTGCTGCTCGCTCTGTGTAATTACACTGCCATCAACACTAGTTTCAGTGGGGAGTTGTTTTTTTTTTTTTATGGCACTGTGTTAAATGTGTTTGTGTCCAGATTATGTTGGAGTTGGAGCTAATACATTTTGATCAATATTTACTTTTACTAAATTTACTTCAATGCAGACAAGAGAAAAGACATCAGAGCCAACAGACACAAACTGGCAGAACTATAAAAACTGTACAATGGTGGCTTCATCAGCAGATAAGTAGCTTTTGGGTTTGTAATACAAGCAAAGGCTCAATTACTATCAATTCGATATTACATTTTAGTTCATTTAAGTAATAACTTTGCGTAATTCAATGAGTTCACACAACATGACATGTAGTCACACTTCCGGGGAGGTGCATGTTAGGCAGTGGAACAGGATATAATTAACTATCTACAGCGCAAATCCAATGCAGAAGTGTCAAATACCAATTATGATGGTAGTCGTGAATATTAACTAACTTTAGGTAGCCATAGCCTTGTATCTGCCCTTCCAGGTTGGTCCCCAGCGTCCCTTAACCGTAACCACCTCACAGCAGAGTGTCCTTCATCCATTAAAAAGTCACTTCACTGACTTCTTGCCTATGGTCTACTTAAAATATATATATTTTTTTTTTAAATTCAGAATTTACTGAATACCACAGTTGATCAAGTGTTAGTCTCAGTAGTCTCACTTTAGGGCAATTAATTTCACATTTGGGTCTCACATGCTATAAATAATTTATAAGCAGCAGTCTGGTGTTGTTTTCTTATGGTCAATTTCAATTATTCAAAGTGTTTATTGTCACATGTACAGTTTGGAAACATGTTTCCCTGCACTGTGAAATTCTTTCTTTGCCATCCACCACTAATGCCAATCAATATCAATCTAGATACTAAATAGATAAAATAGACAAAATATGTATATAAACATGTAAAAATAAAATGAAATAAAATAAAAAAAGATCAATAAAGGCAATGGACTGAACAAAATAAGGAGGAGTGCAACATCAGCTTTATGTGCAATAGTCAGCACATGTAAAGTAGCTTTTGTTTTACAATCATTTAAATGTTCTTATATCAGGTCAAACTGCTGTACAGTACGTATGCAGTCATGACACCACACTGTTTGCAGGTATCTGGTCTGCTTTTCAATGCCAGGTTCCCTTGTGTGTTTATAAATGATGCTTCAAGAGCCTAATAAAGCACAGAGGCACACAGTAACTAAAGCCATCCACGGCCTTATGTTAGTTAATGTCGCCTTTTATCTCGGGAAATAAAAGGCCATTGAGAGAGACGAGCAAACTCTGACCACAGAGTTGAGTCTCCTCATGTCGGAACACGGACGGTCACGGTGAAAGTACAAAGATCTTGCATCATTTCACCTCAGCAGCTTCTTTTGTCTGGATTCTGTTTCTATTGAGGTGGTGTGCCTGGACATGCCGCTATTACATAAATGAACAAGGACCGTGAGCAATCACAGCGTGTGATGCAGAAAATTCAAGCTGGTGACACTTTGTAGGGCTGGATAGACTTTCATGGTTAATATCAGGAGGTGCAGAAACAATTTGTACTCAGATAAAAAAATAAAAAGTAAACAAAAAAGAAACAAAACATGGCATTTTAATGTAAGGCGTTCATATACTAGGGTGTGTTGAACATACTGTCAGCAAAGCAAAATAAATGAACTGTATATGTAATATGGAAATATCCACACGTTTACTCTGAAAAGTCTGAAAAGGGTATAATTAATCATTTACATAGGAAGGAAGAGTTTTTCTGTAAAGCTAGGGTGAGTACATCCATCATCATTACCCCGCACACACACACACACACACACACACACACACAAACACACACTCACATACAAACACGCAGGCATTATCTGACAGTCTGAGCTTGAGCGAGCTGATTTCCATACGCAGCCTTCAGAGATGCACTGAGCCGTACCTGGGCCACATGAGGAAGTCTTGGCGCTGGCAAATCACATTCAAATTTAACCCTCAAAATTTGCTTGCTTCCCAGCCAACGCGGGCTTAATATCAACTCTTTCATGTTAGCAATATGCAAACACGAGATCCTGTCAGACCCTGTCCTGTGTCTCTGTGCTGCATGTCTGCGCCCTGATCTCTCTGACTCGGCACGAATCAGGCAGGTAGACAAATTATCAATACTGTTGGTCAACGAGATCCTGAGATTAAAGAGGCACTAAGGCACACTCATATGCACGCTTTGAGCTGTTAACTAAATGATACGACTGTACTGGGTACATTGTCTATTAAATTGCCCCCCAGGGGACAAATAAAATGCTTGAATTGAAATTAATTGAACTAAATCCACCAAATTTATAAGAATCAGCATTTCAGTTTCCAAAATAAGCTGTCTGGGACTCATCATTTACAAAAGTTTACATAGTTTTTTTGCCTCTGTATTTTTTAACGACAGTAGGACCACCAACACATGGAATTTATTGTGTATGTCCCTCTGATGCAAAACAAACTAAAAAACCACACACTGGATTGGGAACTAGAGAGTTTGGTAGCTGGGTCAGCACCTTGTGCTCTTTGTTGGCTCCTCAAGCCCAAGTGGCGACTTCAGGGGCTGAAAAATAAAACCAACAAGGGAAAGTGCCAACAATTGCATTTCCACGAAATGTCCACTTGAGGCTGGCTCCAAAAGCCAGTCAGTTCTGACAGGCCCCTTTGAAAAATGGCACAAGTTGCACTTTAATAATAGAAGCAGCCTGGTCTTGCTATACTTGACCTCCAGGGTGGAAAGTAAACCAAACAATGTCTGTACGAAGTGAGGCAACTGAATCCTCAAACATGTAGGAATTTGAAAAATTACACAAGTTTAAAGCAGCTAAATGCAGCAAGCCGTCGTAATTATGCACATTTAGAGGTAATTAAATGTGTTGTAATCCTATTCTTAGATGTGCAGGAGCCGTAAGTACAGGACAGCAGGTGTAGGTCAACGAACAATCAAGGACGTGGGACTGATTTACATTTTATGATGGAGAAACTCTGTCATGTCTGTCTACCAAACAGAGGAAAGGTGAAGAGCATATGTAGGTCACTCAGAGAAAGCACACACTTCATTTTACATTCAACATTGTGCTCAAAGGGAATCCAACGGCCGCTTTGGATTTTCTGGGTTCCTCTGTTTAAAGGGTGTAAGCTCTTCATCTGACCACGTGAAGTGCTTTCAGAAGACATGTCGTGAACTGGGGCCATATAAATACACTTGAATTGAACTGAATGTGGGTCAAGAGTGTGAAAAATGGTGCTAACTTCAACCGAACCATGATCTAAAGGGCAAACTCGATGAAACCATGACTGTCGAGTAACAAAGTGGCACTGAATAAAGTCAAACAAAGTCAGTGCAGAATCTGTTCAGTTGTACTTTATTCTCACAATATTTGCGTCACTTGACAAAACCTACGCTTCCATATGTAATTAAAATGTCATCCAGTTTGCGTTCTGTGGCTCAGAGTTTGTCGAATTCCAGTGAAATCTGAACTCTTGTGTCTCTGTCACAGGGAGGAGCCACCCCTCCACCTTCATATGTCCAGATGCCAGGTGAGACTCCACTAAACAGCTTCACTTTTTGCTGCCTAAAATAAATCTGTCAGCACGGTCTCAGTCAGCACCCTCTTTATTACTAAACCTAACACTTAGAGGGTGCCAATTAGCATTTTGACTCTATTGTCTGCACATTTCAAGCATCTGAACGTGTTAACGTTGTGGTAAGACTGTGGTTAGACAGAGCACTGCTGCCATGACAACACTGAGGATATGTTTTTTGTTGTCTCCCTTCAGGGTCTCACATGCTGCCCAGCTACTACGGCATGAGACGCTCCTTCATCTCCGACTCAGACTTCTGCCCGTCCACCAAGCAGTTCTCCCCCGACATGTACTCCTCCAGCCTCGGGGGCAAGCCGCTGGGCTGCGAGTCCTCCACCATGTCCAGCTACTCTTTCATCGACAGCTACTACCCAGAAACCTTAGCCGACTACCGCAGCGCCGCCACCTTCTCCAGCTCTGGAGGGTCCTTCCTGCCCTCGTCGGCCCTCTCCTCACTGCTGCCACCTTTCAGCGGAGAGTCCTCACATTTGTTCCTGGTAGGTTTTAGGATCAGGCGTCCTGTGAGCTTGATAGTGACAGAGATGAGACAGAGGAGATGGAGGTTTCAGCAAAGGGGAACTCTCACACCTCAAGCAGTTTGTTTTTACTCACTTTGGGCTAATTTTTTTTTTTACTGCAATATAAAGTCCTGCACCTCTACAGAAGCAGCACATACATGGCTACAGCTAGAGATGACTCACAATGACTTCTGTGCAGAGTGACCAAGTCAGCAACAAAACAAGCCAAAAACTCACTTCATTTTTTTTTTTTTAACTGAAACCTGGAAACTGGAGTTAACATGTAGAACCATTTTACAAGTGTCCTGAGGTGTTATGTGCTCCCCTCTGCTCGGTGGCTGCAGTTCAGATGAAAAGTCATGTGACTATTTGTAACACTGAATCATTCGTGGCGTCTTAGTTGCACTGAGGAATGAAGACATTTTTCTATTTCTCACAGGATCTGGTGAAACAAACAAACAAAAAAAGTTAAATTAAAGCAAAATAAAGAAATTAAATTAATTAATTCATGGTATATCTACCATGAATTAATTAATTACTGAAAGTAATTAATTAATTAAAGTAACTATTACTGAAAGTATGCCTTTTAAAGTATTATTATCACCCTCATTATTATTATTATTATTGTTATTATTATTATTATTATTATTATTATTATTATTATTATTATTATTGTGTGCTACAAGGTGTCTCGGTGTTTAGCACCGTTGCCTCGCAGCAAAAAGGTCGTCAATTCGCGTCCAAACATGTTGAGGTTAATTGGTGATTCTAAATTGTCCGTAGGTGTGAATGTGAGTGTGCTTGGTTGTCTGTCTCTAAGTGTAGCCCTGTGATAGACTGGTGACCTGTCCAGGGTGTCCCCTGCCTTCACCCTGAGTCAGCTGGGATAGGCTCCAGCCCCCACGACCCTAGTGAGGATTAAGTGTTGTATAGATGATGGATGGATGGATTATGGTGAACACTTTAAAGTCCTGAATTCTGAAATGATCAAATGCAGCGCAAGTTTTGTTTTTACCCTTCTGGGGTATCAGCATACACCATTGCCCATAAAGTTGGAATAATTTTTGCTATCAGACACATTCCTGTTTTTATTTCTATTTATACACATATAGTGGGACGTCCTGCCCGTTGACACCATCAACCAGCTGGTGGACAGTCTGCCACCATGTCTTAACACATTGATCCATGTCAGGGGTGGTCAGACTCAACATTTGTGACATTTGAAAGAGTAATATTAGACATTCTACTGCATGAAATCCCCTCAAATATGTGTTTCCTGTTAAAGGGACCACGGTTGAAAAATTGAAACAAAACCCTTCATCCAATTGTTCAACATCCCAATTTTATTTAACCCTGAACACACAGTTTGTAAAAGTTAATTGTGGTTTAATTTTTACTGTGATGTGTATTGCATGTATATTGTGATATCAATCACGTTTTGAGAAGGTTTATCTAGAATAAATGGCATTGTCTCAATCATTTCATGAGAAGAGGTAAAAAAAAACAAACATGTTATTCCAACTTTATGGGCAACAGTGTATGTAGTGAACACAGTGATGAAATAACGCATCACAAAATGACGTTATGTGATTACAAAGGCCTCCTGTGATGGAGCGCTGCACTATCTGATGAGGAAACGAATGAATGAATGATTCATCCTCACCTCTCATGTCTTCCTGTTTCAGAGGGACTCTTGGGAGCAGTCAGTTGCAGAGCCGGTATCTCAGGTGGAGGCTCTCTGTCCGGACAGCCTGGCCTCCGTCAGCGTCCCCCCCTCCATGCCCAGCCCGGAGCCCCCGGGGAGCCCCTCTCAGTACCGCTCCCCCAGCCGAGGCTCCTCCATGGGCCCCGTGTCCAGCAGCCAGCCCTACACCCTGCACCCCCTGGAGGACGCCCACTACCACCCTCTAACCAGCAGCAGCTCCTACTCCCTCCCCACCTCCTCCTTCTCCTGCCCTCCCTACATGAGCAGCCCCGTCAGCGACCTGGTGTCCAAGATGGTGACGGAGGAGGCAGCCGACGGCCACAGCAGCCTGTCCGCCAGCACTGACGCTCACTCCTCCTGGGCCAAGGAGGACGGGGTGAGCGCCTGGTCGCCCTACGAGATCAGGAGGGCCTACTGACTGGACGACTGAGGATTGAGTTTTCACAGACAATTCAACAGTGAACTCAACAAACACTTGGCAGCCTGTTGTGAACCTGGAAGATTTTTCTCTTTTTGTTGTTGTTGTTTTGGACAATTTATGTCAGTTTGTTGACTTTTATTTCTAAGGAAAAAGTTTTAATATGTTGGTAGGAATGCCTCAGTGGACCGTGGTGTCCGATCTGATGTGTGAGGAGGCTCTTACTTATTTGTAAAAAAAAAACCCAGCAAAAATAAAATGTGTCTGTTTTGTTTGATTTGTATGAAAAAGAGCGGGAAGAGTGAATGTGACAGAAAACAAAAGTCATGATAGGACATAGTTTGAGTTATGAAGTAAAGGTAATAAAGTAGGATTGTCACTTTTATGATGCATCATGTGAGAATTTATGGTTATTTGTTAAAAGCTCTGTGAACATGTTATTCTTCACCCTCCAGGAGCTCTTTGTGCTGATGCTGTTTTTAAACCACAACCTGCTGCCGTCTTTAGAAGGTTTCTGAGTGAAGCACATTCATTGAAGAGGCTGCGACTGTGGTTAAAGAGCATCATTGTGCTTTATTTCATCTCATGTTTTTTCAGATCTCTCCCTGACATGGTGACAGGAATTGTATTCCATAATCAGCCTCTTAGCTGAATGTTGGACCAGGGGAAATTGTTTTAACTGTTTAAAACTTTTTTGTAAAACACATAAAAACTCAGATTGTTGGTTAATTTCAATCTATTGCACTAATGAGAGAGGAAGAAATTGTCCAGAATCTCTCTCAAAGGGAAACACAAGAGTGGCATCTTTTTTTATCATATGACAGTGAACACAAAACTCCTTTTTTCATTGGTTCAAACCTGTTGTTTTAACAAGCATGACCTCTGAATCTGTAATTCTACATTCCATATAGTTACAAATGTGCTTCCTCAGACTGGAACCACATCCCTTTGAAGTGCCTGAGCTCTCTATTTCTGACTAACACACACTCATGTTGAGCTGGAAGCAGCGGCCAACTTGATCAACATGTGAATAAAAGATCATCTAGGAGCCAACAGCCGAGTTTGTTGTCACCTGCCGGATCACAATAACCGACATAATCACAGGACACTGAGCTGAGTCTACTGTTTTATTTATTGTACCATAAACTCTTGAAATTACAAGATAATGCAAAATGTAAAGCCTGTTTTGGTAACTTATGGATTCTGTTAAAGGAGAGTTTTCACCTGTGTCTGAAATTTTAAAGATGGATAATTAATGAAGGTGGAAAAAATACAGTAAAATAACATCCAGTGAGAACATGGACAGCGGTGAGGATGGTCTGGAGTGAAAGGAAACAGCTCAGGTTTCTGTTGGAAGCCTCTCCTCGTGTAACATCCAAGAACTGTTATTTAAATTATGATTAATAAATGGTTTATACAGAGACATGAGTGTACATATAAGATCATTTTGAACTGTTTAGTAACGTCTGTGTTAGCAGCTGTTATGACCTTTAAATCTGATGAGTTTAAATAAAGAAAAACAACAAAACAGTGACAGAGCCACACAAATAGAGGAGGCAGGTTGAGATCATCACTGACGCACCGGTGGAAGCAGCTCACTGTAGGTCAAATAGTTTGTGTCTCTTATCATTTGCTTATGCAGGTGAGATAAACATGTAGCCGTACATCATGACTCATATACAGCACAATAAGCTTTTTTATGTAATCTTCAAATAAAAGTTTGGAATAGTAGCTGACGTTCTGCTTTTTTTAATTCTTGATTAAGTTGAAAAGATAATTACATGTGAGCCTGTTATGTCTGCTGTGCTCAGGACGTTCAGCTGACTGAGACATCACACTGTGTCCATCCACACTTTGGTTTCTTTGTTTTGGCTGCAGGTTCTGGGTCAGTCTGACATTGCTCAGCAGTTTGTTTCCAGAACATCTTGAAGTAGGTTTCATTCGTCTGGACAGGAGTTCAGCTACATTCACAGCTAAACCTAAATCATACACAGTTTATTTGATAAAACTGAATCTTTATTTACATATAAATCAGATGCATTTTGATACAGTCGATACACCTTTCACTGACAACAATATGATGTCTTTGAACTGTTATTAGGTCAGCGTAAATATCTTCTGGATAATCAGAACTAGTGGCTGCAAGGTGCCTCTGTGGTTAGCATCGTTGCCTTGCAGCTAGAAGGTCGCCGGTTCGCGTCCCAGGGAGGACACCCGGGATCTTTCTGCGTGGAGTTTGTATGTTCTCCCCGTGCAGCGTGGGTTCTCTCCAGGTTCTCTGGCTTCCTCCCACACAGTCCAAAAAACATGTTGAGGTTAATTGGTGATTCTAAATTGTCCGTAGGTGTGAATGTGAGTGTGCTTGGTTGTGTGTCTCTAAGTGTAGCCCTGTGATAGACTGGTGGCCTGTCCAAGTGTCCCCTACCTTCATCCTGAGTCAGCTGGGATAGACTCCAGCCCCCCGGGACCCCAATGAGGATTAAGCGGTGTATAGATAATGGATGGATCTTTGAACTGTTATTACCTGTTATTAATGTGTATTGTTAAAGCAGAACTATGTGACTGTATGTGGTTGAATGGAGGAGGGTTGTGCTGGTAAAATACATCTGTAGGGAAACAAAAATCGTAGAGAAGTAGTTCTGCACACACAAAAAAGGTCTGCCTTGGAAAAAATAGTAGTTACAGGATGTAACTCCCGGTTTCAAGTCCATGTGTAGCCCTGAGACAGAATTAATGTCCAATAAAAAATGAGGAGAAAGCAGAATTTGTGTAGCAGAAAAATTAACACTGAAATATGTATTTGTTTACAACTACATTACAAGTTTACCTTTGTTGGAATCCACTGGTGTGTTTGACTGTTTTCATTCACTACTGGGAAAGAATTTGAGTTTTTCTTATTGTCTAAAAATGATGAAGCTATTAACTGCATTTCTTTTCATATATCAGTGATATAGAATAAAATAGCTGCAGTAAACGTCAAAAACTGACTCATTTTCTGAAGCTTCATTGTGACGTGGGGGGAGATGTTCTTACATTTGGCCACTAGGTGGAGCCGCTGCAGCAGCACTAACAGCAGCAGGAGGAGGAGAGGACCATGAATGTAGAGGAGAGCAGTGAGAGACAGGGATGAAGAGGGGACTTCATCAGTGGTGCTTCAGCTGATCAATGAGGGGTTTTTGATAACAAATCAAAAAAAAAAAAAGTAGTTATCCATCACAGGGACGTTTCACTGCTCTAAAGCTTACCATTATTTTCATGCTTCTATTTCTGAGGTGACACTTTTCATTCTACAAGAAGCTAAATATTATTATAAAACTGTTAGAATAATTAAAATATGATTATTACAATAACAACAATGATGATAAAACTTGGGTTGAATTAATACATTTTAACTCGTTTGAACCATTAAATGAATCCAGATGTTTACAGCTGCCTAAGAATGACACAGAAATCAGTATAAAGATATTTTCACTGATATTTGTTATTGTAGTTTTAACTTTTTTCTTTTTCTTTTTCTTTTTAAACATATGCATCACACATCCTCGGAAAGCTACAGGAATTTATTCAGGCTGCTCTGAGTAGAATTTTGTCATCTGGTGCACAGAATAAGTTACTAAAGATAAAAAAAATTCAGCTTTCTATAAAAGCGTACAAATTATGACTGTTTTTAATTCGTGCGTAATAAACTACAGTCTAATGTTAGTGATTTAAAAAGACAAATCTCAATGTTAAAAAACACTTTACTACGGTGTGCATCCTCATTGGGACGTTTTAATTTGTTAATTTTAAATCTACCAATTCATTTACTTTTTCTAAATACTAAATAAAAGTTTGAACAAGCAGCCTTTCCAGCAGTGAGTCCCAGCAGCCTGCAGCAGGTGAGAGCTCAGACTGGAGGAGCTGAAGGCCTGCGATGCTAAAGATGGCTGCTGGCCTTTGCCACGCCCACTTCTTTCCCACTTTTATGTGTTTTTCTTCTGAAATAAAGTTTAAAAATGTGTTTAAAAATGTTGCTCGCACGTAGAGTGGCCCCGGTAGACGCGTGCTCGCAGATCTGAGGTGAAACGCGGCGTGAAAGTTGCGCACCAGAAGCAGCCAGAGCTGTAGTGCTTAATGAAGGGGTGTAATGCTCTAATACTGAAAAAGGAGGATAAAATTAATAAAAGTGCAGATTTTTTCGGTCAAAGTGTGAAATATTAATATATTACATTAAAGTGGGGCTTATTCTATGTCCCTGCTGGTTATTTTTATTGAATAAAACGATATAAGTCCTTGCCTCTGAATATTCAAATTGTAAGTAACGCGCAATCAAATCATTGTCAAATCAATGAGTTCTTGGGGTTTTAAATAGTAGGCATGGAGGGAGACAATCTCAAACTAAAATGGATCCAGCTGTATCACAATATTCTTGCATGCTTTGTTGTATGCTGTAAAACATTTGTATTGAGACTTTTTGGAGACTTTTGCACAAATTTCGTTCTTGGCTATTTTGCTGAGACAGAACAGCCTTGTGGAGCCCCACAGGTCTTCTCCAGGGATCCTCTCTTCATCTCAGCCATCATGTCTGGTGAGTTCAGCCTCGGAATTAATCAGGATAGAATTTTGTTGCATTTTTCCTTGTTAGAGAGAAAAGAGAAAAGAAAAAAAAAGTAATGTTTAGTGGCAAAATGAAAAGCAAACAGCAGTCACGTGTAAAACTGACGTGTTTTTTCCCTGGAAATGTCCACTCATTTATACATTTAAATGACTTGCAATATGACCAACAGTTAAATTAAACCTCTAAGTGAAAAATGATTGTAGATTAATGCCATCTCTTCATTAAAACTGAGTAGATGGAGACAGTCGGATCCTTTCATTCAAACACTCCTCTGAGCTTTACCGACTTTTGTGGTTTAATTATAATGACCACCCACACCTCAGGACATGAAGATGATCGTTTTCAAAGACATTTTTGATGAAGTTTAATTACTCTTGGACTTAACATTTGAGCCGAAGCCTCTCAGTCCGGGCTGTCAGTGCGTAACAGGGTGTTAGAGTGGGATGTGTCAGCGCGTAATTTTAGCCCGCTGTTTGCCACATTTAAGACAAATCACGAAGTAGCATTTAGCTGTATGAATATTTATCAGATGAGGTTTCCGAGGCTTCGTCTCTTATCAAATCGTCTTTTTCCATAAGGCTCGCCACTCCTGAGTGCTTTAAATTACGCCTTTGGGCCTAAATTACGCGCACCTATACGAGGCGTTCTTTTTTGGATTCCTTAATCAAGCTTAGAGTATTGGAAGAAGAAAAAAAAATAGAGACAAGTATTCTGTGTATAAGCTCCACAGATTTTCACTGTCACATATTCAATATGGGGGCTGGGGTGATTTGAATAAGTAACAGAGATTGGAGTAGAGCTCGGAGTTTTGAATTGTAAACAGTATCGCGCTGAAATTGTTCTGAAACATTTCCATATGAAAACAAGAATGTGATCAAACTGAACTTTTACTAAATGATAGAACTCAGGCAGCCTTTGACCGCGGAGCTGGAACGGACAAAGAATAAACTGTCTCCGCTTTTTATTGTCGCGCTGCCTTCACAGAACCAAACTTTACTTTGAAACTGACTCTTACACACATCTGCAGCCCAGATCAATAACTTAATTACCGAGTACACGTTTTGGTCGCAGATCGCTGGACAGGCTGTTTTCGGGTCTATGTGTCCTTGTCAATGCGCGGGTATTATGGAGCGGCTTTGTTCTACTTTCCTAAACGATCCTACGTTTATTTCAACCCCTGCACTGATCCACGTTAACCACTTAAACATCGAATATGTCCTGTACGCGTTTATGATCAGAAATGTACTTACTTTAGCGCATTTTACGCCGATTTCCTCGGTCCGTGGGCTGGGCGGGGTGGCTCGGGAACGCGGAAAGAGTCTGCTGGCGGCGCCGAGACATGTGGGGACGTAAAGAGGGATTCCCACAGGACTCTGAGAGGGTCTGAGGTCGGAGCGAGTGCTTTGAAATAACCGGAGCCGCAGAGCGCACCGAGTGCAGATTATGCGCTTTTACGCAGCAAAAATTCCGAAAATAAATCAGGACATTTTTGCGCTACATGCAATTCAAACTACAGTTTATTCATCATTATAAAAGGTTACATGTGTTAAAAACGTTTTACACAAAGTCTGGCATTCAAACATTTACTAGGAACAAAGTAGCGACACTTCATGGAGAGATGACAGTTTATTGGAAAAAATCAAACTTGACATTTTATTTTTTGTAGGGAAGATTATATTGAGGGATTGTGGATTATAGTGAAGGGGGACGAAGCAGGGCTGTGTGGGCTGGAGATGTGATTGTCTGCTCTGATAGAGCATGTTTAGTAAACATGAGTGTCACGCTGTTCTCTTCCAGCAGAGAAGCCGAGAGTGTACCAGGGCGTCCGAGTGAAGACCACCGTCAAAGAGCTGCTGCAGAGGCATAGAGCCCGAGAGGCCAGCAGCAAGAAACTCAAAACGGTAAACTCTCCCTCCCTCCTTCTGCCCCCTCTGTCTACTGTGCCTTTCCTTGTAAATCTACTAAAAGAGGAAAAACACACTGCGCAGAGCAATAAACGGCTCCTGTAAATCAGTGACATTCTAACGCTCTCTTTCTAATCCAAGCCATGAGGCAGGCACGCGCACATTTGCAAGGAAAAAATAGCAGCATCGAAACAGAAAACATGTCTTTCAACATGAAACTGACAAAAGAA